ACTCGACTCAACTATACACACAAAAAGACTCGAAAAAGACACGACTCAATATATACACAAGCAAAATCTAGAATCAATATTTCCTTAGATATAGGGTAGGGTTCTGACGTACACTGAAATTCAGTATCCGATTCTCTTGAATTTCCACCCGATTTCGTGCAATCGATCGTGGCTACAACGTTATAGGAAGAGTGAAAAGAAAACGTAGAATTTCAATCCCATGGGAAGCTGTGTTTCGTCGCCTATAAAGGGTTCCTCCTTCGGGAAGCGACCTGTGAGGAAGAGCAGAAGCAGCAGCAGCAGGGCATCCACCGTTCCAAACTACGATTCCCCCTCGAATCTCTCCCGAAGATCGATTTTCCGGCCTCCAAGCCGCGTCCTCCCCGAGCCAATCGGGGACGGCATCCTCCTCAAGTACGAGATGGGCAAGGAGCTCGGCCGGGGTGAATTCGGGATCACACACGAATGCATAGAGATCAGAACACGAGAGAGGTTCTTTCGCCTTTTCGGATTTGTGATTGCGCAAAATCGTCCAGATTCGGCGTTGAAAAGATTCATATTTTGGAAAATGTAATGCTGCAGGTATGCGTGTAAGAGGATATCGAAGGAGAAGCTAAGGACGGAGATAGATGTCGAGGACGTGAGGAGAGAGGTCGAGATCATGATGAGATTGCCGAAACATCCGAACATCGTTAGCTTCAAGGAGGCTTTCGAGGACAAAGACGCGATTTATCTTGTAATGGAGCTCTGTGAAGGCGGAGAGCTCTTCGATCGAATCGTTTCCCGAGGGCATTACACTGAACGGGCAGCTGCCTCTGTCGCCAGAACCATTCTCAACATCGTTAAGGTAAAATCTTCTCCATTTTTTTCCTGCGGATTCCACAACCTGATTGAGATTGTGTTTTGTGCAGGTTTGCCATGAAAATGGAGTGATTCATCGGGACCTAAAACCCGAGAATTTCCTTTTCACAGATGCATCGGAATCCGCCCAACTCAAGGCTATTGATTTTGGGCTCTCCATTTTCTTCAAACCCGGTATACACATGAATCTAGAGACGAAATTTTCCCTCTTCGAATCGATTCTTTAACTCACTGGAAAAAAAAAACTTAAAAATTTTCAGGCCAGCGTTTCAATGAGATCGTCGGAAGCCCTTATTACATGGCTCCCGAGGTCTTGAGACGTAACTATGGTCCCGAGGTCGATGTCTGGAGCGCAGGTGTCATACTTTACATCTTGCTTTGTGGTGTTCCTCCCTTTTGGGCAGGTAAACTCTTGTGTTTTCTTCCGAGTCGACAGTT